AATGGTTATCAGTAAGGAGACACAATTATATCATTCATTCAATGATTTATTCGTGGAGAATTGAAATAAGTTGACTTCATACTGAAAGGTGCTGAAGCGATGTTGTCTCGAAGAAAGGAGACGAGAAAAGCCTTGTGAGTGAATCCAGCAGTTCTTCAGAGAAAATGTTATTATTATTGTTTTCTTCAGTTCTTAGAGGAACATAGGGCTTCAGCTGCACCTCTCCACTCCATTCGGTTCTCTGCCAACGTTTTCATCTGGCTCCACGTTTGCTCACATGCCTTCACCTCTTCTTCACAGGACTTACTCAATGTCACCCTTGTACTGGCGACCAACTCACTGCTTACCATTCTAGTCTCACTCGAACGATGATCTAGCGTGTAATGTCGCCCACTTGATGATGGTTTGTTTTCTCAGATTATGGCCAATCCAGTCTACCTCCATTTCTTCCTGCATATTTGTTGCACAATCGGTTCCTGCTGGGTTGGTTCGTTCATTGCCAGAGATCCCTTTTGCCGATCTTTTCTGACCATCTGATCGTGAGTATTGAGCGAGGACAGCTGTTGATGAAGGTCTGTAATTTGTCTGAAGTGCCTTTCGGGACGCGTCAAGTCTCTGGTCCGCATAGTGAGTAGCACTGACTTCACATTGGAGTTGAAAATCCGGATCTTATTTTCATTTTCATGTTGAGTGCTGTTGACATCCACACAGACTTGAAAGTAATGAAAGCTTGATTTGCTTCGCCAATCCTCGCCTTGATATCCTCGCCAGTTCCATCCTCCTGTAGTTGGAATGATGCTTCCCAGGTAGGTAGGTAGGTAGGTGGGTACAGGAGGTTGCTTCTTTCAGACTCCTCCCATTTATTCTGATTGTTGTCTGTTGTTGTGGTGGTGGTTGTTGCTGTTGGCCAGGAATCTTCATCACCACATCCGTTTTCTCTATCTTCACATAGAGTCCTATCTTCTCTGGATGCTTCATCTGCCAACTTGTTGCTTTTCACTTGCATATCTTCCAGTTTGTGTGAAATCAGATATATATCACCATCGGCGAAATGCAGATCCTCCAAGATTTTCTTTTGTGTGGGTCCAATTTATACCTGTCTCCTTGTTGCCCGGCCAACTGTCTGTTACATTTTCGAGTCTACCACAATCAGGGAAATCGTTGGAGATAGTAGGCAGCCAGCCGGGCAGCCTTGTCTTACTCCCGTCTTCACTTTGAAGGAACATAACTAAAGCGAAATCGTCCATGTGAGGTACAAACTTTATCGTGGTGTGAATTAATCCACACTATAAATACATGAAAAGTAACAACATGCTGTTTAGTCCAGACTGAGAAATTTTTCTAAGGTAATATTAATAGTAAGTAGCAAATTCTGTTTCCAAAGGTTAGGAACACAGAGTAAGCTAGCGAGTATATATGCAGGTGTTGACAGCAATGGTGATAAATTACAATAAATTCTAATGTGATAAGGAAAACTATAAAAAATAACAACATCCTTGTATCCCCCGACATCATTTGTTTTTATTAATAGTAATAATACTTTTCTATCGGTTGACTGTCGGCAGAATGTGAATGTGTCCTTGGTAGGTCGGTAGGTTGATTTTTTATTGGTAATACCGAGATGAGTTTTGATGGGATTGAGTTTTCTTTTCTCTCTCTCTTTTCTTTTTCTCTCGATTTCTTTCACAACTGAATATTTTTAACAATCAACTAGATGACTAGTAGGAAGTATTTTCTCAGAATGTTTACTATTTTCATCAGATAGATAAAGCAACGGAATTCTGTGCTCTGCTTCTATACATTTTATCGCATTTCTACCCCACTATCTTACCTTTTTATTCGGGCATCAGGAAGAGTTGTCTTTATGCTTAGATGCGAAATACTGCACACAGGGACATTTCAACAATGGCTTGGGATGAATATGATGTTATTTGGTTGATAATGACTAGTACTGGAGTCTGAGAGCGGCGTTTCCTCTTATTTCGGACTCGTCATCTGGATACAGGTGCTCCACAATGAGTGAAAGCTTTCCTAATGAGACTGGTTTCAGAAGGCCATCACTTCAAGTTCCAAAGCATTACCTACTAGGCCACAAGACCTAATGTCCATCACTTACTAGGTATACACACTTATACAGCTGAAGTCTCAAGCAGGTCTAGAAGTCCGTGACTGATTGACTTGGTAACTATGACGAACCAAAGGATATTAGGCTTGAATCGTGTTAGATGAAGGATTTCATCATGAGCTGATATGAGTTACAGAACCAGTGGAAAACCACCTGGGAGTATTGTACATCTGTTTCGTCCTAGTTAAGGACTCTCCATCGGTACGTACCCGCCACAGGGGTTCAAACATAGGACCTTCTGGTTACAAGGCTAGCGAGTTTGTAGACAATTAAACCACTGGGATCTCATCCAATGGCCCATGAATTCTAACTTCTACCAATTTGCGATTTTAGCGCGACTACTTCGCAAGGTTTTCTTCGACGAGTAACTGTCCTAATCTTTGACCTGCTGTACCCTACTGGTCATGGCTTCCCACTTGAACCCCAGGTAACTGCTTACCTGAAAAAAGGCCAGTCACTAGTGAGCATCAGATCAATTTTCAAGTATTGTTTTTGTAGGGATTTTGTTTGATTGGATAGAGGATTTCATCATGAACTGACATCATTTAAAGAACCATTGGGAAGCCGAAGAAGTAGACTGTAGCTCATCGAAGAAGACATTGAGAAGTTGTCGTGCTAAGTCGTGAACTGGCAGAAGTTAGAGTTCTTGGGCCATTGGGTCAGGTCTCAGTGGCTTAAGGGTCTACGAGCTCTCTGGCCTTGTAACCAGAAGATCCTGGGTTCGAATTGTGACGGTGGGTACGTACTGATGAGAAGCCCCAAACCAGGACGAAACAGCTATCCATTACTCCCAGATGATTTTCCAATAGTTCTGTAACTGATCTCGGCTCATGATGAAATCCTCCACCCAATCAAAACAAAACCCCTACAAACTAATATTTGAAAACTAAATCATATTATGTTACAATAGCTAGTAGTGTTACGTACGTTTTTGTTGGAAGATTGCAGTTAAATTCACAGGATGATACATAAAACTGAAATAAACGTTCAAGTTACAGCAAAATGTATCAGTCCTGATGTTGCTGAGTTAGCAGCTGAGGAGACTCAGCCACAGACCATGCAAAATCCTAAATTATTTAACAAAGTACTTCCTTTTTAGCTCATTGGAATTAATGATTAGTTAATCAAAAGGCTTCTAATCATGAAGTTATCAGTTGAAATATTATTTGCGATTCTACTGCAACTTCAATTGTTATCTCTGTTGAAATAGTACTTCAGTTGTGCTATCCTGAACTGTTGAAAGTTCTGTCCGTACACAGAAAGCAATGAAGAAGTCAAATATGTCGGAAGACAACATGTCTGTAGCTTTCAAGCTGCATTTAAAGCAGTGTACAATTGAAATTTGCCACTTATTACAAGATTCAGTGGGTTAAATAACTTAATAATCTCAGAAGATTTAGAGTTTTAGCAATTGCTTATAACACAGCAGGGCAACGTTTAGTAATTCATATAAGAGATATATCAAATTCTGCATTCAAGGAGACATTTTATCACAATTCTCTTTGAAAACCTACTTATGGGCGTACTACTAGACAGCTTAGCCAACGTGTTAGTGAACATCTCCCATCGTGATTTGGCAAAGGACAAACAAAAACAGTTCGTAGCTCATTTTTGTCACACTTGATTAATAGTGGTCATTTAGTGAAGAAAACGAGAGATTTCAAAGTAATTCATCGTATCCCACCGAATCTTTCCAATGGACTTCGTATTCGTTTATTGCACACAGCTGAGGCGATAGGCATTCGAACTATTGAACCTAAACTATGCATTCATTCAAAAGAAGTTCGTACAACCATTATCCCTCCCTTGGCCTATTAAGGCATAACCAACTAATGACTTCTACACCCTTCAACCCCTTTCTTATCATCACTTAATCTTATCTTCATTAAAAACGTGTTTCATTTACTTTCCTTACAATCTAGCAACACTTAATCAGTTCATTTGTTTTTACTAGCCTTCATCGACTACTTCCACCTGAACAGTTGTTCGTTTAATCATGCTGTTTTTCATTATTCGTGTTATCACAGATTGCCTCACTTTTTCATCCTTATCACTGATAAGACCATTTTTATTATTATTATTATTACTACTGTTATGACGAATTGCACAATTTATATTCACCATCATATTATCCTATAGACAAAACACCATGATTGGTTTATATTTGAATTTTTATTTGTAAACTTATATATATTACAGTTAAGCCTAATGAGATCTAACTGAAAGCACAATATTGTTCGCTTAAATGTGTTGTTCTAAATTTTACTATGGGAATATTTAATATATTGAAACTTACTTATATCAATTGATCAGTAATATATGATACTGCAATAATAGAGAAAATTTATAGCTCGGGTAGATGATTCTGAATTAGTTGTGTTCTCTGAGATGGTTGATATAATTGCAGAGCTTCTGTTGTCCCTCCCCCCACTTCTTGTAGACAACATCACTTCAGCACAGGTTTTGGTACCAAATGAACTCACTTCAATTCTCCATGAATGCATCAGTGATATAATTGTGTCTCTTGGCAACCATCTTCGTGACTGGTAGTTGATTTACATCTCTACTGACACTAGTGAGGTTCGACTGCATGACCTTCAGATTACAGGGACAATTTTCCAGCGTTAACCAATTCGCAATGCTCAACGCAACCTCCAGTTAGTATCACAGATGAGCATTTGTTCTCACGCTTACCTCGGTAAACATCTTGCCTCATGATTTGAAAGTCCAGGGTTTGATTGCTGATGGGGTCTCTAGAGCATGCTGTTGAGGAGTCTCAAATAGGGACAAAGCAAATATCCTAACTGAAGTCAATTCGTGATTAGAAATCTCAATTAAATCTTTGTTTTTACCATTTGCCTTATTTTACTTCAAGGTATAGAACTGAAGCTAATTTTGGATCCACAAGAATATGATTACATTATACCAAATAAGGGATATACAGGATTTTATTTAATTGTGAAAAGCGCCAACTGTCAAAGCGATGATGAGGAGTTGGACAATGATAATAGCATAAATGATCAGCCAGTTATTGTTGGACCGAAATTTCATTCATTCATCAATATCAAAGTAAGTTGTAAATACCATATAACCATTACTGTCCACTTGGATTCCGAGTGTAACATAGGCTTCAACAGCAGTTTACTTAAGCTGATCTCACGACTAACCATAGTCTACCATCTCCTCTTCACACGATCCCCTCCACAGCACTCTTGGAAACACGCTCAACTCCTCGTTTCCCATTCGGGTTCCATTCGAGGTCTGGTCTGGCGCGCAGTGTCATCCAGCGGTTTCCTCATCGTATGACTATTCCATCTCCATTTTCTCCCACATATTGTTTGAGCAATCAGCTCTTGGTTGGTTTTTTCCACTGCAGAGTTTCTTGCTGCTAATTCTTTCTGGCTCACTGGGTGCCCATTTGTCCTTCAGTGTGGAGCCAATCAGCGTATGGGAAGCTGTTGATAAAGGTCTTCAATCTGTTGGAAATGATTTTCTTGATGCGCAGTGCAAGATCCTGACCTAAAATTTGTGTGGAAAAGAATCCGAATCTCTAGTAGTCTCCTAAACTCGTTTCAGGTTGATGAAAGCGTATCTTGCCTATCCCATCCTTGCTGGCTTTGACATCTTCATCCGTCCCGTGAAGTAGGTGGTCTCCTTCAAGTTCTTACAGTTGATGATGACAGGCGCTGTTTTTTGTTGTTGTTGGTTGGTTACCTTCATCACTTGTGTCTTTTCTATGTTCGCTTGTGGCTTCTGCAGCCGGACCATTAGTTTTAGTAAAGTGAGGCTAATACGTAATATCATTCATATTACGAAAGAATTAGTGACTCAAAAGTTTGTTCACCGTTTGGTGCTTTATACAGTATCGAAATAAAATGAAGGAGAAAAGACGTAAAACCAATGGTTGATTGTCTCACCTCATCACCACGGCAACAAACTAACCTAATCCTCACCTCGATGCCGTTTCCATTCTCTTAGTTCTCAATGGAATATAACGCTTCAAGCTTTTGAGGTACTAGTCGTGGTGGTGTTGGTTTTGCCGGAAAGAGGGTGCTGTAAATCCAACGTCTAACTTCCACTCTTTTCTGGGTTTCGTACCAACTAGGTGAGGTGTAAGAGTGCGCCGGCCTAGAATAGAACTCAGACTCCGCATTAGCTTGGCCAGAGATCTTTCAATGAACCACCAAGGCACACGTTCATAATGTGAATGTGGAATGCTGTTAAACTTCAAATTCCTACCGTTTTAACTATCATAATTTACAGGGGAAGTATTGTTAATGTAACTTTGACAAATGGTAAACCTATATCTGAACTATTCAATTCAGTATGATCAAACTTTTTTATATTATAGCTTGATTGCACACAGTATTTTGGTACAAGTATGAAATTTTCAGCATGTGATACCGGTAGCCCAAATTTAGCAGGCCGATCATAGATATCAGGTGTGCGTCGGCGGGGTGTCGAACCCCGGGCCATGTGCATGGTCGGTGAGAGTCCTAACCACTGTGCCACCGACGCTCTTTTTTAAACCAGACAACAGTGAAAATGATGTGTGCCTACAGTTCTATCTGTTTTCCGAAGCTTTACAGGGTCTTACACTGTATGATTTTTCAAAAAATTCCTGTCATATGCTTTAGTGGTTAGAAATCATGTCCACAATACTTCATCTAATCTGGAATTCGTCTCCTCGATGATTCAATGGTAATTTGATAGTTGAAGTGATGGATGCTTCGTTTATAGTCATGTTACTGAAACATAGGCTACATCTGGTTAGCAAGCAACCAGTTCTTGTAGTTCCATAAGTAAAATTCTGTGTCACAGATTCGAAGATCCCCTTCTCTAGTACTGTTATGGATCAGCGTTTCTTCACTATCATAATGATCGAAAATGTTGAAACGAAGTGTTTGGAATAAGGTCTTGCATTTAAGCAGTTACTTTTATTCAAGAGAAATAGGAATCCAGTTTATTTTTGTAAATGAATTAACTACCTATACTACTTTTACTTTCCTAATTTTTTTCCAATTAATAAAGCAACAATACCCTGTTGAAAGAATGGATCATTTTGGAACCACTACTAAAGGTTAGTTTTTCATCTTACAAAACAATTAAATATTTAGGTCACTTGGTGGGTGGTGACTAGCAGTGAAATCCAGGATGTGTATTTCTTTGTATTTGAGACTCCTCATCTGGATGCACCTGCGAACTCTTTTGGGTTCCAAACGACAGGCACTGAGTTCGATCCTCGGTGGGAACACCATCACTCATTAGGGAATGCAAGTAAATCCAGCATCTTGGAATCCACTGTAAGTCACCATCCTCCAATTGACTTCAAGTTACATAACCAGACATCGTCGAAGCATCTGCACAAGAAGCTGATATGTCATCCTGAGACCGAGCACTTCGGTCCAATAAATCGACGGGAAAATCTAAATTGAATGAAATACATATTTTGAATAAACATTTGACCTTTTTTATTTTGGCTGATGATGCCTAGCACTGAAATCTAGGTTGAAAATTTCGTCCTTCCATTGGACACTAATAACTAGTGTGATGTGTCTAGTCCTTTTTTTGGTGCAAACTGAATTCTGTCAGTCAAGTTTGCAATATGGTGACGTCTCTGACTGCAGCACTGGGTGGTGCGGGTTCAGATCTCATAAAGGACATGAGTTCCTTCAAGGTTGCGGATGCGCCCTGCTGATGTGTGCCTTTCAACACGAAACCTAGGTCTAAGGCTTCCTGCCAATTCCCTCCAACCATCCAACATCAACAATTTCGTCATATTTCGGACTCGTCAGCATTCTCAGAGAAGGTTGGTGCTCCCAATGAAACTCGAACCATGCGTTCATCGTTTCAAAACCCGAAGCATTATCCACCAGGCGTATTCAGACGTAACACTCATCCAGTGAAATAAAAATTAATGTTCTCCATTTTCACACTTAGACACAAATTCGAATCAATTTTAATTAGTATAGAATAATTTGGCGGATATTTCATTAAGGCTGAAAAAACAAAGCTTTTAATATAAAAAGCTATTTTCCTGACTTCTCACCTTCGTGGATGGTGAGAACAAAACACGAGTCCTGAATTCCACTGCTTGCCACCATCAACCGAAATAACGTTATGCCAATCCTGAGAAGTCATTGAAGCGTTCGTACTGGAAGACTATAAGTAGTCAACATATGAGGAGCATATCAGTCCAACATCAACGCAAAATTCAGAAAAAATAATTCGAAATTTTCAGTGTACTCATAACACCAGTGTAGGAAACGAAAGATTATAGGTTCAGTCGCGTGCTAAGAATTTCATAATATATCAAAGTAATGTGTTTTCAAAGTAATGATATGACATAATAACTAACTCACGAAATTCATTTAAACTTGTAGACTGACTTGTGTTTCTGAGTAAAAAATTGAAATAAGCAGTTTTTGTGTAGATTTCGCCGATGATTGACATCAGATGGAGAATGGGTAGAAACCAAAAATCGCTAGTCCTCTGTTTTCTCCTATTTAAAGACTTCTGAGATTTGAGGGCCTTTAACCCTATCAGGAATCTAACACAGAATCCTCAGGTTACGCGACCGGGCAAATATATTCATCGATAGCATTTCTTGACGGCTGCAGCCTATCACAAACTGACAGAAGTTATAAGTCTTGGGACACTGGATTCTAACACATTCACCCATGTTGAGATGGACCATGGGTTGTCACCTGTGAAGAATCTCAAGGCAAGATGAAATAGCTGTCCAGCGCTACTTGGTTTTCAATGGTTCCTTAAGTGAATTTGGCTTATGTCAAAATCTACATGAAAATTAATAGAAATCCCTAAAAAACACAAAAGTTAAGTGTAAAATGGTGTGTGGGGTGTTTATAGCTGTTTTCTCTTCAAGTGTCAAAAACCACTGCTAACGTATATATATATATATAAGCAGTGGAAAAGTTGTCACGCAAGGTTATAATTGTTGATGCAGACATGAAGGTATTGAAATATTCAAACAAGTGACCTATTGGTTTCAAGCATAGAATTCTACCGATCCATACCTGTAACTGGATTACCAATCGGTCCCTAGTTTCACCTCCAATCGCTAACAACCTAGTCGATAACTCAGAGGTGATGGTTGATTAGAATCCTAAAGTAATCCAGTCAGTTTTCATATTTTCACCCACCTCAATTTTACTTTGCACTAATCGCATACATTTTAATATTACTCACAATTTTTGTTCTTCATTCCTTCACGTTTCCAGTGCAACATAGGTCACTTTCAAGCTAGAGGCTTGAAGTTTCTGTAGCAGTGGTGATTATTTTTATATGATGGGGTTGCTAGCCTCATGCGCAACCTTTCTTCTATAGCAGCTTTTTTATTACTGGCTTAAAGGAATGCGTTGGTGACCGGGGATCAAACCCTGGACCATGTGCGTGGTCGACGAGCATTCTACAGCTGTGCCACCAACGTACATTACTCACATTATTCCTACGTAACTATTTTTTATTTTATTTTAACAGATACGTGCTCAAATTTTCATATACAATCAGTTGTCCAGTTAGAGAAATTACCTATTCAAATACATTTACTACAAAAGTTCAATATCAACATGTTCAGACGTAATGGTACAGCGGTAAGTCACACTTTTAGAATTTTTTCTCCTCTCCTGACTTGATAGTATCTTAAATATAGCAATCGTACTGACTGATAGAATCCAGTCTGCACCAAACAAAGGACTAGACACAAACTGGTTACTAACTAGTGTCCGCTCAAAGTATCCACTACAGTTAGTCTTACAGTAGGTCAGTCGCGACCCTGAATAGATCAGTGGTGATACAGTATCTGACTTCACCACTGGGTGATGCTGGTTCAAATTTCAGGAGGAATATGAGTTCCTTCAAGGTTGGAGATACTCCCTGCTGGTTAACTGATGAGTACCAAGTAGCACGAAACCCAGGTCCCAGAGGAGCTGTCTGCCAATTATCTCCAACCATCTAAGACAAATTATAAATTATTTAAATTAATCACAGCGTGTTAAAGAAAAAATCAAAACAAGATGTGTTTTCTGAACGTCTCGCTATGTAAGCCGCTACAGCTTCTTCCTCAGCAGAATTATTCGGATTTTATTAATCATCAAAATATACAGTCAAAAAATGTTTCACATATGTTGAAGTCAGTTTATTTGGAGGTCACTTGTCCATAGACAATTGTACCAATAGAAATATGTAATAATAATAATAATTTGCTTTATTCCAGAAACAGTAAGCAGTCATCATATATTTCTAATGACTAATATCAAATTGTTATTGTGTAAATTTTTCTATAGGTGGTTTGTAAGGATCAGTTTTGTATGAGTGTGTGTATGCATGTTATTTATCATATGGAAAGGACTTCAATTCACAGGTGATAAACATGATAATACATTTTCTGAAAGGTCATAGAGGTTCATAGAGGTTTTTGTTGTTTTCTCATCTGTCTTGTTTCATTAGAGTTTGCCATATAGGTAGGTGATAAGTCTATCCCTTCTCACCTTCCTATTTACTGCATTCGATGAGGTTAAAATGTGCAAGGCTTCAGAGGTCAATCTTTCTCTACGTTAATGAAATCCTTTACCTAGAATTTCGACATTGTCAAAATCAATCTTATGTCCGCTGTCCATAGATAGCATGCATTGCTAATGCTGATGTTCTTTTTAGACTTTTTAATTTGACTTCATTTCTAGGTGGACGTTTCGTGCATAGTCTTTGTTCATTCACTCTGAACTTCACCTGTCTACTGCTCTCCCCTATATAGCATGCTTCACAAATAGGGCGTTAGGTAAACTAAATTGTTTTGTTTTAAAGGCTCTACAGGATCCTTTAACCGACAAAGCTTATTTCTAATTTAGTTTTTGGGTTTGAATGCCTCTTAAATTTCTGCCTTGTTAAGAATTCTCCATAAGGGGGTTTCTGAGGTTTCTTCCTTGTATGGAATTACTACTGATGTTGATCTAATACTACTGAGTTTACCTAATACCCTGTCTGCAATGATTGTCAGGTCAAATACATAGGTCAAATTAGTAGAAAAGGGGCATAGAAACCAAGCAGCGAAATCCAGATTAGTTGACTCAAATAAGATAAGAAATCTAGGGAATACTTCAGCTATAGCACTCATTACATGCAGTTACACACAACCAACCATACAATAGGATGGGATGGGATGAGATAAGATGACAGCTTTGAAATCTAATGTCACAGGGTGGAGCTAGAGAGTGATAACAGAAGCTTTGTTTATAGAATCAACTGCAAGTACGTGTCTGCAGTAGGAATGATTCAACACCTGTGCACAAAGATATCTGGAAAATTCTACTACCCGTACGACGAAAAATAGGAGAGGACAAAGAGAACTATAAAATCCAAGTTTCGATGTCGTGTGCTTAGAATTGATTGGTATGATTATGAACAATAAATTTTGTTCGAAACGTCATCCAGTGAATAATACTGTTTCACTCACTGTAGGATACATCTAATAAACAAACTAATATGGAATTATATGTCACTGAATCCGTGAAATCAGTTATCGGTACAATTATATCAGTCATTCATGGAGAATTCAAATAAGTTGATTTCTTACTAAAACTTGTTCTGGGGATTTAATTGAATTTTAGATTTTCCCATCGATTGATTGGACCCCGAAGTGCTCGGTCTCAGGTTGATATGTTGGCTGCATGTGCAGATGCTTCGACGATGTCTGGGCATGTAATTAAAATTTAATTTGTGGATGGTGACTAGTAGTGGAATCTAGGACGCGCATTTCGTCCGATTTTAGACTCGTCATTTGGATGTACCTGCATTTCCCAGTGAGTGATGATGTTCCCACAGAGGCTCGAACCCACTGCCAATAGTTTCAAACTTCTAAGCATCTGCACAAGAAGCCGACATTTCAACTTGAGACTGAGCACTTCGGGGTCCAATCAATCGACGGGAAAATCTATAATTAAATTAAATTAATATGACCCGTTGCACAACAGGTGGTCAGCTCTCGTGGCCCAAGTGGTCTAGTGTATAACGCTTTGGCATTTGAAACTATGGGCACTGGGTTCGAGCCTCGGTGAGAACATAATCACTCTCTGAGAAATGCCGGTACATCCAGCTAGCGAGTCCCAAATAGGACGAAATGCGCATCCTGACTGAATTCCACTACTAGTCACCATCCACAAATTAAATTGTTCTGGAGATGTTCTCTAGAAGCAGGACAACAAAACCTTGACAATTCAACAAACCAGCTCCTCAGAGAACAAAACCAAGTCATAAAGCCAGTCATTTTTAAAATTTTACAAAGTTAGGTAACCCTATTGCTAAAACACCTACCTTCTATCAAAATAAAATATATATATAACCTTTAAAAGGTAATTTCTTAATGTAATAAACAATAGTTTAACACTAGGAATAAGAAATGTACCGAAAATTTTTATCTTCCTTTGATAATAGTCGGACAAGTATCGATTTTATTATGGAATATGTAACGCATATAATACAACATGTGTTATGAGCGTACTTTTTCTTACAGCTGGAATAATTCAATTTACCATTCTTCAAAAGGAAACAAAAATAAAAATTCTACCAGGAAAGATTTCTTTAATGTAATACTGTTACATGCACAGTAATAGTAAAGCTTTTTCCTCAGGCAACCTGTGAATATATGTTACACAAAATTTTCAGCGTGTTTTAATTTGAGAAATATTCCCTTTTCATACAGATTTTACTCATAAAGTATTAATCTATAGTGTATCATGTAACGTTAACGTTACTGTGTATGAGAAGACAACCAATTCTGCAAGCTTTTTCTTCATTTCTTTCTAGAATTGCACCGTAAATTATTCGTAGCAGATGCCTGTAGGTAATCAGCCACAGAAAGCCTTGCTGGGGTCTAGGTTTCGTGATTGTTGGCACTCACCAGTCATGATATTAGATGGTTGGAGGGAATCGGCAGGAAGCCTTGGACCTAGGTTTCGTGCTAGTTGGCACTCGTCAGCAGGGCGTATCTGCAACCTTGAAGGAACTCATGTCCCTTCTGAGATTCTAACCCGCGTCACCCAGTGCTGCTTCCTGCCGATTGCCTCCAACCATCTAATATCATCACAAACAATGTATACCGTGATGGCGAGCTACCTAGAATGGTGGCCACATTACAACCTGACTGATAGAATTCAGTCTGCACCAAAGAGAGGACTAGACGCATCACACCAATTACTAGTGTCAAATCAAAATACCCACCAGTCAGCCAGAAAGGTGTATCTTCAATCGATATAAGTCTAAAACTTGAGCACTGTGGTAGAGTAAAACTCCATTATGGATAGGATTTTATTTTGATAAATCATACAGTGTCATACTGTACAGTAATATTTAGTGATGACCACGTTTTGAGCACAAATTATTACCACTCATAATCATATCAAGGCACTACTTACACAACTTTTTTCCTTCACTTATATACATATGTGGAATCGATTAGATATTGGAATAAAAATGAATATGGGATAATGTTGATTCATAATTATTAATATGAGTGTTATTGATAAGACGAGTGTTTTTATAGTCAAAATAAGTAACTTGTTAGAATGTTGTGATGTGCCTGAATTGAAATAGAATTTTGAGATTATTTATTATGCTCCTCTGATTTGACTAACTGACTGGTGGTAATAATATCTTCCATATCTCTGATATTTGCATTGAGTCATTTCTGTTGCATGTGTTGGGTGTAGACTCGATGAACAAGGATTCAATAATCAACCTCTCTCTCCACCTACCTAGATTACTTTTTAGAATTTTAACCCTCTCCCACCCTATTGTGTGGTTGTGTGTTAATGCGTCAAGTGCTATTGCTGAGCTTCTTCTAAATTATTTATCTTATCGGGGTCAACCATTCTTACCTTAGCTAAATTCTTATGTTCCGACAATCTGATTATCTCTGATCTGCTAGTTTGACCTATGTAGTTGACCTGACAGTCACAGCAATGTATTTTGTAAATTATATTATTTTGTCTAACTCGGTCCTATAACCTACCTACAGAGCTCGCCCGACATGGGTGAGTTTGAAGGTTAAAATGCCACCCTTATTCCTGCTTTATTGAGAATCCTACGTAGGGAGGGTTTCAGATGTCCCCTCCTATTATGGTATAACAGTAGATGACTTATATTCTGTCTTACTTATTTTATCATTTGTTTCCCCATTATTTTTACTTGGCTTTTGGCCTTTTCTGATCTTCCCAATGAATTTTATAGGATAGTTATTTGATACCAATGCCTCTTCTGTCTGTTTTATTTCATCATTTAGGTCTTTTCTTGTACTACTTAGTGCTACTGCTTGGTTTGTTAGACACTTAACTAAGCCTGCCTTAACAGTTAACGGATGAGACGAATTTATCAAAATAAAATCTTATCCATAATAGAGTGTATCTTCAATCCTTAACGAATTCATCCTCGTTCTGAGATTCGAATCCACGTCAACTAGTCCTGCAGTCAGAGACGTTACCACCAAAGAGGTATTTGGGCTAGCGATTGACCTCCTGTAGAATTGTAGTGGATACTTTGATTGGACACTAGTAACTAGTTTAATGTGTCTAGTCCTCTCTTTGGTGCAAACTGAATTCTATCAGTCAGATTTGCAATGTGGCCATCATTCTAGGTAGCTCGCCATCACAGTGCACATTGATTTGATGATATTAGATGGTTGGAGGCAGTCTGTAGGAAGACTTGTAACTAGGTTTCGTGCTAGTTGGCACTCACTAATCAGTCAGCAAGGCGTGTCTTCAACCTTGAAGGAACTCATGTCCCTCCTGTAATTCAAACCAGCGTTACCCATTGGTGCAGTCAGAGACGTTACCACTACTGAGTTATTCGACCTCGCGATTGACCTCCTATATTGGATACTTTGACTGGACATTAGTTAGTAACCAGTTTAATGTGTCTAGTCCCATCTTTGGTAAGGACTCAATTACTGACGAGTGCCAACAAGCATGAAACCTGGATCCAAGGCTTCCTACCGACTGCTTTCAACAATCTGATGCCAACCCAACGACTCTCAAGAAGAAATGGCATTTTGTCTGATGATAATTTTAAAGGATCTTATGACGCCTATCTCATTACCTGTATAAAAGAGATGCATGGCAGTGGCATTATTCAAAGCATTTGTTCCCTTGAGACGTAGACTTTTCGGTGCATGTTCAAAAAATCTGAGATGAACTCTTCTTTCTGTTCATCCAGCGTAACTGCTCCCGAAGATAAATGTAAATTGCTCTACACATTTACAACTAATATGTGAAAGGTATCGATCGATTTTTGACTGCACCAATCAGAACAATTTTTCGTCTAAAGGTTTAACCTTCAGGTTATCAACAGCCTATCAGGAGAGGTTATTATCTGCTGACCTAGTTAACCATAAATGTGGCTGAAGATGTATAAGTATGGTGCGATTTTCCTAAATAAAAGAGGTCCGTTACGAAGCATCTTCCCTTCTGCCGTTACAGTATATCTTTTTCAATTTTTCTATTTAATTTTAATTCTCAATTTACTTTTTACTGATATTATTAATGCTCATGTTTTTAACTGGTTAAAAATGTCCATTAAATTTTTTTCAAAAGAATGGTGACTGAACAAAGAAAATTCTTCTCCATAACCTGCTCTTCATTATCAAGTTCTACAGTTATACATACATGCATAAAAGTGAATGAACTAGTGTTATTAACAACAATAATTTTGTTTAAGTAATATCGAATTAATAATAATAATATCAGTGGATTACAGTTCGATAGCACCAACTAAACAATACACTGAATATCAAACAAATTAGGAAAGATAATAATACAAATTCATGTGTTTATAGTCTCCACTGAAAGTCGGTTAGGGTAGTAGTAGTGGCTACACTTGCTTCTTGTGCACACAGAGCATCGGTTTTTTCAGGTGAATCGTTATACCCTCTGCTGTTTGGAGCGTAATGTAGTGAGCTTTTAGATTTCTCCACGAGTTTATCAGTCATCTCTCCTCATATGCAAGGTCACCCACTGGGAGAGATGACTAAATAAACTCGTGGAGAAGTGTAAAAGCTCACTTCAATTCAAATTGAAGTGTGCACTGAAGATGTTTCCTGGTAAGTAGGGCAATGAAAGCTTCGCAAATTAACTATCCAGCTCAGAGAACATGACCACATTAAAATCATCCACCTGAGGTACAAATCTTCTCCAGTATTGTACTAAATGCTGGGAATTCCATGCTGTATCAAATATTCTATTACAATAAATATCATAAATATTACTTTTCAGCTTTATTATTCTCCATGATTTAGGTCCACCTAGGCGTTCTATATCAACAGAAAGCATTTCTACAAATCTACAATCATACAGCCTACAATCTTATCAAAGATTTATCAAAAGAATTATACATGGCCAGGAGATTAGCTCAATTCGCTTCAGAATATGTATGGAAAATGTACAAACATTTGGAACATTTTAGTAGACAATCGAATCAAATGAAAGTGGCACATAATCAGAATACTATCAGCTGTTATAGACAAGTGTACCATTTACTAACATCAGCTGGTAAAGATTTACTGTCGTCAAAAAATGCCTTATTCATTACTTCTGATGATGAAGATCAAGATGGCGGAAACAATCAAACATTAGACAGTATTGAATTACACTTGATAAATAGCTTTTTTGAGACGAAAGTGATTGTATCACCAAGTTCCACTTTATTACGCAAAATTCTCACAGTGGTAAGTTGGAGTTTGTATAAATTGATATATATTTGTGTATTATGATAAGGTTTCTCTTCTAGAAGGCCTTTTTTATAAAAATGTCTTTGGGTCTTTTAATTAGGTGTCGTTCAAGAAACGCATTTCGTCCCATTTGGGACTCGCCATCTGGATGTACCTGCATTCCCCAGTGAGTGACGATGTTCCCACCGAGTCCGAAATAGGGCGAAATCTGAATCCTGACTGAATTCCACTGCTAATCACCATCCACCAATTAAATTCTAATTACATGCCCAGCAAACATCGTCGAAGCATCTTCACATGAAGCCGACATGTCGACCTGAGACCGAGAACTTCGAAGTCCAAGCAACAGCCGAAAAAATCTAAAATTCAATTAAATAAGTCGTTCAAGAAGGTTTTCATAAGAGTGAAAGAGAGAATGCGAACCTCTGGTGTTTACAACCAAAGAACCAGTGAATATCCTGGTCTACCCAGCGGCATCTAGAAAATCCTGATTCCAAACCCACCGCATACATTAGCTCCAGAAGCTGAACTGAACGAATCTTGTATGAAGCTATTTTGGACACCGGAAACCATGGGAACGAAGCTTCTAACGCTGATCCACTGTCTATTGAATCAAGAAGGGGTGATCTGTTTAGACAACCACCTGTTTCGGTCTGAACCTTCTGGCATTATCCCAGTTCTTACACAAGCTATGAGATTTTGTGTAGTATACATGCTGACACCTGTAATGTACCAGATTCGAGTTTTAGTAGATAAACAATGAAGTCTTGGACAACCGTCAGGAACGCACCTTAAAATTTAGTCTTCACTTGTTTGGATTCACAACACGACATCTAAGGAAAAGGAAAGGGCTTGCTACTGTTTGTACGAGTTTCACCAAGGACTTATATCACTTGGAGAACCACTGGAAAACCAGCTAGGAGAATTGGACAGCTGTTTCATCCTAGTTTGGGACTCTTCATCAGTAAGCACACACCACAGAGAGTTCAAACCCAGGACCTTCTGGTTACAAGACCAGCAAGCTCGTAGACCCTTAAGCCACTGGGACCTGATCCAATGGCCAGCCCATGAATTCTAACTTCTGCCAATTCACGACCACTTCGCAATGTCCTCTTCGATCAGTTACTGTCCTCACCTTTAACCTGCTCTACCCTACTGGTCACGGCTTCCTACTAGAACCTTAGGTGGCACAGTGGTTAGGACTCTCGCTGACCATGCACATGGTCCGGGGTTCGATCCTCTGCCGACGCACACCCGATATCTATGCTCGGCCTGTAAAATTTGGGCTACCGATATCCATGCTGAAAATTCCATACTTGTACTGAAAATACGGTGTGGCATCAAGCTGTAATCAAGGAAATTTTTGGTAACTGCCTGAATAGGGCCAGTCGCTAGTAAGTATCAGGACGAAACAGCTTTCCAGTGCTCCCAGGTGGTTTTCCAAAGGTTCTCTAACTGATGTCAACTCATGATGAAATCTTCCAACCAATCAAACAAAAAAATCCTTAAAAAACCACTACTTGGAAATAGCTTTTAATTTATCCTGAGAAAAGACACAAAGAGAAAGTAGTGTATAAACCAGATGTTTAGTACTCAACACGATGATCTTAGCGAATTTTTCGGACGTGTTAAAAAAATCTATCAAAAACAATGACAGTTACTTGGATGAAAGGCACAGCATTCATCTTGCTTACAGCCTTAAACGTTCCACCCAATATGACATAATCCTCTTTCAGAAGGAAAAACAAAATTAGGTTTTTGAGATGATATAGGCTTTGAATGAAAACTAGATTCGTGTTTTCGTGATATTTTATAACTTTAGGAAGTCTGAATGTTTGTAAGATGAGTAAACAAAAGTTTAAAAATGAAGTTTTTCACTTGTGGACACTAACTTTGTCGTATTCAACAATTTTGGTTGATTTAAGTGTAGAGCCTACGATAGAGCCTGCTATTTTAACATGGCTTGAATCACAGAACAATGGCGGAGGATTTGTAGCCAAGAAGCATTGGTTCTTGATGTGACTGTATTCTCCACAATCGTTCATTGGAGATTTACTGGTAGAATGCTCGTCAAACACATACATGATGTAGGGCTCGATTCCTGGCTGGTTCATCCCTAAATCTCTTTCAGTAGACTAACTCATATAATTTAATTCACTTTTAGACTTTCCCATCGATTGGTTGGACGCCGAAGCGCTCGGTCCCAGGTTGACATGTCGGCTTCTTGTGCAAACGCTTCGACTGGGAACATCACTGCTCACTGCGGAATGAAGGTAAATCCAGTAGATGACAAGACCCAAATAGGACGAAATGCGCATCCTGGATTCCACTGCTAGCCAGCACCTATCAATCAACTTCTAAGTCACATCATCCTTAGAAAAAGGAAAAGTTGAGCACGAGGTTAGCAACCTGTTAGGATTCCGCAAAAAATAGTATATCACCATTTCTCATGCAGAGTGTGACTTGCGTGGTCAGTCATTTCTTGAGTTAAAAATGTATCAATATCAAGTGTCGTTTTCCTAGTAAATATAAAGTTACAAGCCAGCACTTTGTCTTTTGATATTTGCGTGGCTCAGTGAATCGGAAGGTACAGTGGATGAATTGGCGTATTAGTGTACCGGTCGAGCTCCTTACCGATTAGCTGTGCAAACATAACATAACCACATCCCATAAAATAATGACACCATTGCAACTGGAACTTCAAAGAACAAAGTCCAGTATTCCAGTCACAGAGTAAGGAATAGGAGAAAGAAGCTAATGGTCATTACTTCCCTCTTATCAAGCATATACATCGAATTCCTTACCATGCGAAAATCAAGACAACTCATCTTTTTGAATACTAACCCGAATTTTTAAAAACTTCTTACAACAAGTACAAAAGTACAAACAAGCTTGTCAAATTGTTTTTAATTAAATTTAATATTCAAACTGATTATTCCAGAGAATTGAAAAAGAGATAGCATTGCCTACCAAAAGATTCAAAGATATTGTCAAATTTATAATTGCGCGAATTTTGAATAAATGTCTACATCTGATTGTCGGTATAAATAAAATGATGAATGAGGATTAAACTTGCGAGACAATCCACTATTTTATTTGAATAAAACTATACTAGACAGTTTAATTTTTATTTCAGTGTGGATCTCATTACGAAGAAAAATCAGTTAAGAGATCATTGGTTGTCCTGGAGCCCTAGACAGCTGATTCGTTCCGGTCTCTTTGGGCTTATCAACAGTGGACATCCACTGCCTTAAATCGAAATCGCGACCTTCTGGTGATAAGACCAAGCTTGTTGACTATTCAGCCACCTGTGTTATACAGTAATATTAACTGATGACCACGTTTCGAGCTCAAACTATTGCTCATAATAATATCAAGTTACTCACACAACTTTTTCCCTTTATTTATATAAATGAGTGAAATTGATGATTAGACATTTGAATAAAATCACAATAGGATAATGTACATTCAGAAATAATAATATTGATCAAATGCAGTCACATGGGAAATAAGACGAGTGCTTTTATAGTCATAATATGTAACTTGTTAGAATGTTGTGATTTGCTTGAACTGAAATAGAATTTTAAGATTATTTCTTATCCTCCTCTGATTTGACTAACTGACTGGCGGTAATAATATCTTCCATATCTCTGGTATTTGCATTGAGTCATTTCTGTTGCATGTGTTGGGTGTAGCTTCAATGAACCAGGATTCAGTAATCAATCTCCCTCACTCTCCACCTACTTGTATTACTTCTGAGAATCTTAACCCTCTCCCGCCCACCCTATTGTGTGGTTGTGTGTTGATGCATGCAGTGCAATCACTGAGCTTTTTTCTAAATTACTTACCTTCTCTGGGTCAACCATTCTTACCTTGGCTAAATTCTTATGTTCCGACAATCTGACAACTCCCGACCTACTATTTTGACCTATGTGGTTCACTTAACTCACAGTCACTGCAAGGTATTTTGTAAATTATATTATTTTGTCTAATTAGGTCACTCGACAGGGTCTTTTAGCCTACAGAGCTTGTCTCTGAGTGATCTGATATGATATGATAATGAGCAATAATTTATGCTCGAAACGTCATCAGTTAATATTACTGTATAACATCGCTGTGTGATTTATCAAAATAGAATCTTATCCATAATGGAGTTATACTCTACCACAGTGCTCAAGTTTTATACTTATATCAATATAGGATTACCCTCAATCAGTACTTTTGACTAGTATCCACTTCTTGTTGACGTGGTAGACCACAGTGGCTACGAATGTGCGGAAGGGCTTACAGACATCCATCCATTACTCATCAAATTGCTGGAGTTTGAAATTTATACTATGGGTTTTTGTAGAGATTCACCTTGTAATTCCAATGTAGATTTCGTCATACTCTACGTACCGTCATCGAACAAAGTAAAGGATGGCAGACAAACTTTTACCTGAACTTTATTGACTTCGAAAAAACCTTCGACAGACAGTGTTGACCGAGAATTAATTCGAAAACTGACTGAAAACTACGAAGTGCAATGCCCAAGACTTTTTCAACCTCATTCAACAGTTGTCAAAGCTGCCTGCCTATTATCACCGGTGACATTCTTAATTGTGGTGGACTGGATGATGCGTCAGAATTCGCACACGGAGTGAGAAGACAGTAATATGTTGGACCTATGAGACGACTCTACAAGGAGATCTAGATTTCGCCGACGACTTATGGGCGAAAACCAACAAACTGGCAGAAGTGGCAGGTAGTGACAATAGCACTCGAGGTGAATATAGAGAAGATGGAGATGGATGTTACGAAGATAACCAACCAACCAACAACTACAACAACAACCAGAACCACTTACCATCAACGGGAGAAATTTAACAGAGGTTACTTCCTTCACTTATCTGGCTAGGATGCACGGTTTCAACAACAAACACAGACTGCACGGATTAAGATGTCGAAACCAGCAAGAATGGGGAAGGCAAGATATGCCTCCATCAACCTGAAACCAGTCTGGAAATCTTCTGCACACAGCCAGCAGCATAAAGAATAAGATTCAGATTTTCAACACAAATGTGAAGTCGGTCAGCTGTTCTATATGGGTCAGAAACTTGCACTGCCCACACGTCACGAAAAGAATTTCCAACAGGTCACATCACACTTTCGTCAACAGCTGCCACCCTTGATGGCTGTCTCCATACTGAAGATCAAATGGCCAGTCGGCCAGCCAGGAAGAATTAGCACCAAGAAACTCTGGCTGGCAACAAACTAACCAAGAGTCAATCACTCAACAAATATGTAGGATAAAATGAAAATGGATTGATCGGAAATTTGTTGAAATGACACTCAAATGACATCGCGTGCAATGCAGGCCATCGCTCGAGTGGAACACCACCCGAAGTGGAAGCGACAAGTTGGTCTTCGATGTGAGGGTGACATGGAGGAGATCATGTGGTGTGGGGAGATAAGAGATTATAGTCAGTCTTGTGGCTAGACAGGTGAAGAGGACAGCAGAAAATAGTAGAAAGTGGAGGTGATTTGTTATTGAAGCCTTATTTCCAACTCGCAACTCAAGGGAATAATAATAATAGATCGCATCAAAAACCAGTATCATTTAGAGGGCTCACTGAAAACCAGGAAACCCTAGACACCGTCAAGTGATGTTGGTCCGTGATAAAATAAGATAAAACATACTTTCAAACTACTGCATAAATCCCTTCAACAACCTATATTATAAATATTAGTATTTATTCACAAGCTACTAACAAGTAGTATTACCCTGTGTTCCTTATAAAATCCCTTTTTCTTTGACCATTTCTCTTTGTGTCATTCTCTTCTTTGTTTTATTAAATCAGATGATGAAATTTCGTTATCTTCTGTCAGATCTAAGTGGAACGCCTCCAATTTATCAAAGAAATACCTCATTCCTCCTAGCATCTTCATCTGCATCACTATCACCGACGTCTACATCTTCTTTTGACTCAATGCCTGAAGCATCACAATTAGACACAACAACGTCAACAGGAAACAATTGTAGTCATTTAATTATGTATCATGAAGTACAGATTGATAAAAGTGGCGAAGCAGCCAGTGCCGCATTAGCTCGCCTTGATCATGTGAATAATGAATTACACAATTTGATCAGAGATAATCATTTAGCCCGATTAATATTTCCAAGATCATCTTATCCTTATACAGAATTATCTACATCCAGGTGAGGTGTGTTTATCAGTGTTAATGTTTTAAATGATGTGCGGAAATTTAGCCTTCTAGTCAACTTATTGAGTGTATTTGTCTGTCTAATATATGTCAAAAGAAGCAATATGTGTTGAAAGAAGCAACCTCCTTCACCTAACTACCTACCTATCTGGGAAGCATCATTTCAACTGCAGGTGGATGGAACTGATGAGGATATCAAAGCGAGGATCATTTGGAAAGCAAGGCAAGCTTTCATTACTCTTAAGCCTGTGTTGAGGAGATCAACAGCACTCAGCATGAAAATAAAAATAAGATCCGGATTTTCAACTCCATTGTGGAGTCAGTGCTATTTGCTATACGGATCAGAGACTTGGCCAGCGCGTCACGAAGGGCACTTCAAACAAACTACAGACTTTCATCAACAGCTGTCTTCACTCGAGACTACTCGAGATCAGATGGGTGGCCAGAAAAGATCAGCAACAGGGATTGCTGGGAGCGAACCAACACAGAAGGAACCAATTGTGCAACAAATATGCAGGAAGAAATGGAGGTGGAATGTCGATACTCTGAGAAAACAAACAATCATCAAGTGACACCACACGCCAGGCCATCGCTCCAGTGGAATCCGAGTGGGAAGCGGAGAGTTGGTCGTCAGTGTGAGGGTAACATGGAGGAGGTCATGTGAAGAGGAGATGATGAAAGCATGTGGGCAGACGTGGAGCCAGATTAAAACGTTGTCAGAGAACCAAAAGCAATGGATACGTGCGGCTGAAGCTTAATGTTCCTCTAGGAACTGAAGGAAATAATAATAATATATGCTGACGGCTAGTATGTGTAGAATCACTTCAGTCTGAATAATTTATTCTGGCTGAAGCTTTACCCAAATATTGAGAAAACATATACAGTCAAACAAGAAGATATTTTATATTTTAGGCTTCGGGTAAATCTAGAACTATTGACCTATTTCTCTAATTTCGTTTTTTCTAGCATGGTCAGTGTGACTGTACGACTAACGAAATGGGAAATCCCACAGCTGTATCAAACTTCAACGTTGTATGCAGATATTTACTTAAAAAGTAAGTTATTCCGATGTAATGGTTATTTAAACTTAAATTATAGGCATAATCGATCTTATTTTGGGATCCAGGATACACATTTCGTGTTCTCAGTGAGACCATAACTCTGCATCTTTCATTTCAAGCGCCGAAACGTTATCCATCAGGAGATTATGGCCAGGAGGGTTACTTCTTGAGTAAACGGTATCACTTACATTTTTGTTTTGTGGTCATACAATCGCATTTATATTTACCAAAAATGTATAGTAGTCCATTATTGAGTAATAGGAGGGAGGTGACATAATTGATATAATTACTCAGAAGTGGCTTTAGAAGTAAACAATAAAAGTTGTAAATTACGTAATACTCAGCAACGGAACAAAGGAAGAAAGTGTTAAAAATTTGATAAGTTTAAAATTGTTATTGAATAGTGAGAATGAGGATAGTTGAGTGTCAGTTTAACAAATGTGAAGAGGGTGTGAAAATGCACGAAAGGAACATATGAGAGTGATATTAAAGAGGTGATTATTAAAGTAAAAGCAGACTAAAAGTAGAATTGAGAATTTTTTTCAATTAAAAGTTTTTACAGGGAATAATGAATGGCTAGTGAAGAGGTCCAGACAAAGGTAGAATGACAGACCATGGTTAGCAAAAGGACTATAACAACAGTAGGCAAGGTTCAGGCAACAGATCGTTTATTAAAGAAAATCAACACATATTTATAAATTTTAATGTACATTATTGTAGATTATTGCCAGTAGAAAATACAGTCTTTTGATTGGTTGTTTCTCACAGAAAGTTAACCTTGCATCTCTTTGTGGCTGTGTCAGATCATCCATATGCTAACTGTATCCGCCTACGCAAAGCCTTTGTTCTCATTTTCTCACCACCAATATTGGGGACATAAACATTGACGTCAATTACTGTCTATCAACTTTGGCTAGCAGCCAGCTCTCACCACAGACAATGCAAGATAGTTACTAGCTCAGTTCTCGAACACTTGGTGAACGCAAGCCACGCAGCTCTACCAGAGTCGTCTTTCAATATCATTTACAGAGTGAGGCCAGATGGCATAAACGGCGTCAGGTTTCGGCTTTTGTGTATGACGGAGGCGCTGGTAATTTGTCAATACAACCCCGAACTCTATATACAGAAGAAGTTTGCCCAGTTTCTTATTCTATCATGGTCTTAACCTCTTCATTAGTCGCTCCCTGTAGAAAACTTTAATTTTTTTTAATTTTCAATTCTACTTTTAGTCTACTTTTACTTTAATAATCACCTCTTTAATATCACTCTCATATGTTCCTTTTGTACATTTTCACTCTCTCTTCACACTTGTTAAACTGACACTCAACTATCCTCATTCTCACTATTCAATAACAATTTTAACCACATCAAATTTTTTAACCATTTCTTCCCTTGTGCCGGAGAGTACTACATGATTTACAGCTTTCGTTTTGAAGTCAGTTTGCGTTTCCCGTTGGTTGATATGTCAATGGGTACACAGCATTTCCATCCAACATAGTCAGTCAGTGAGAAATGCAGAGTGACACAAAAAAATGCCGAGGATCTCTGTGACTTTAATTAGCAGGCAAATTTAGCAGTAACTATTCTTGTTTAAATCAATAGGGAGAATCATCCATTTCAGTTGCTAGATTTTTTCAGGAACCGACAGCAGTTAGAGGGATAACTGAAAACCAGGTAGCACTAAATAGCTGTTTCGTCCTGCCTATGATAATCTTCATCATCCTGCACCCACAACCACATCAGGGATCGAACTTGGGGCTTTCAGATTATAAAACCAAGCTAGTTGGTCATTCAGTCACTTTAGCCAGGATTCCATGACCCATAAATTTTATCTTTATCAGTTCGTGATTCACTGCCGGGCTCAACAGTGTCTAAGGTGAGCATCCACTCCACTTTGACATTTTGGATCCCACAGGTCTCGATTTCTCTCTGCAGCTTCAGACCATCCGTCCAGTGATCATCTGCTCACCACTAAAGATTCTCATATATAGGATGAACAAGCAGTGCAGTTTCCAGTAATCGCTTTAACCTATGTTATTTCGTGAACAAATGCCACAAATGAAATTTATACAAATCCATTCAAATCCCATTTTCTGAAAATCTTCAGTGACCTTAGTGAAATACTGATGTTTACATATAATGGAGAAGATTTGTAGCTCAGATGGATGATTTTGAGCTGGCTAGTTGATTTGCGAAGCTTTCATTGATCACTACAAGGCAACGTCTTCAGCGCACACTTCAGTTTGAATTGAAGTGAGCTTTTAGATTTCTCCACGTGTTTATTAGTCATAGACCTGACCTCGAACCTCGTGATTGATTGTTTTCGTGTGTTTTCACACCCTCTAAGCTACTCGTATTGGAACTGATTGTTTTCCTAACCTGACGTTTGATCTTTTGTGTGAGATTTCCTTCTTATCGATTGGTAAATTTTGTCTATGTCAATGTGTCTATTGATTGACGATTCACTGGAATACCAGACAGCCTTCTAAAAATTCTCTAGCATTCTTGGTGTTTACTCTGTCTAATATTTGAACGTTGGTTGTCCCAGTCGAATTGATGTCCATGGTTGTCTGTATGTAGCGATATGAGTGAGGGAGTGGATGTCATGTCTTTTGATGGCTAGTTCATATTCATGGATACGAAGATGGAAGGGACGTCCAGTTTGGCCAGTGTGATGTTTTTCGCAATCGTTTCAATTTATTTTGTAGATAATCATCTAAACTAGCTGTCAAAAGACATGACATCCACTCCTTCACTCATATCGCTACATACAGACAACCATGGACATCAGTTCGACTGGGACAGCCAACGTTCAAATATTCGACAGAGGAAACACCAAGAATGCTAGAGAATTTTTAGAAGCCTGCCTGGTATTCCAGTGAATCGTCAATCAATAGACACATTGACATAGACAAAATTTATCAGTCGATAAGAAGGAAATCTCACACACGAAGAGTCAGACTTCAGGTCAAGGAAACAACCAACATCAAAATCAATACAAACACACACACATCTAATCACGTTCAAGGTCAGGCCACCTGAAGAGGTGATTAATAAACTCGTGGAGAAATCTAAAAGCTCACTTCAATTCAAACTGAAGTGTTTGCGCTGAAGACGTTGCCTAGTAGGGGACAATGAAAGCTCCACAAATGAGCCATACAGCTCAGAGAACAGAACTACATCAAAATGTTGGTGTTTACTCTGTCCTCCCTGAAATGTAGAATCTTATCGTTCCAAAAAAAATCCCAATTCTATTCAGTCCTTGAGAGAAATCAGTCAATACCACTGTCTTTACCCTATACTTTATGCTTTTCTCAGAGCTCATTAAAACAATTAGCATAAATAATCCCCTACAAAAGGAATTGACAATGCTTGCGTCGGTGGCACAGTGGTAGAATGCTCGCTAGTCACACCTCATATGGTTCGGGGTTCGATCTTCGGCTGACGCACTCCTCCTTCACCTCGCTAAGCCAGTAATAAGCCTGGTAAGGAGAGAAAATAAATACTACTGCCACAGAAACTCCCTTGAAGCCCTATGTTCCACTGGGAACGTACAGGAATAAAAAATGGCATAAAAGGGCTCAGGGAAAGTTCAACTTATGCAACTCCATATATGCTGACTGAAATCTTTCAATTATATATAAACTAAGTGATACAGAGTTGCTGAGCACTGTGGTGTACTATGATTTTGATATTAGATATTAGAAAGTGTCAATAAACAGTGAGATTTGGACTTAGATTTTCTGTTTGTTTACCACCTATCAGAGAAACTCTTATTTTCTCCGGGATTCATTCAGTCATACAAATCGCCATTAAGGTCATACATAGCTGATCAGTTTCACGGTCTTCTTTCTTGTGTTTATTGAAGTCTCACAGTTAGGTGTTAGGTTTATTTTCGTAAGTCATATCCACGTTTTGCTTTTCTAAGGATAGTGATATATCGACCGCTTTACCTGTCTTCTCATAGAATGACATAAGAAAGATATTGAATTAGCTGGGTTCTCTGAGGAGCTGGTTGATTCAACTGCGAAGCTTTCATCGTCTACCTTCTACACAAAATCGCTGCAGCTCAGGTTTCAATATGAAGTGAATTTATTTGAATTCTCCACGAATGATATTTATTTGTATGCCCTGACAACCATTGTTGTAACTGATTGTTAATTTACATCTCTATTGATCATTTTTATTGACTTGAAATTCGAGCTTTCTTATCACATGTGATTTACTTTTTATTAGCTGATAAATTTGTTCTGTAATAATGTGTTTGTCAATTGCTAATTCATTGAAGGATTCTGTCCTGAGCTGACATCAGTTCAGGAAACACTGGAAAACTAGCCAGGGAGTACTGGACAGCCAGCTGTTTCATTCCACTAGTTTGGGACTATTTAGCAGTGCCCACCGGTCACAGATGGTCCGAACCCAGGACCTTCTGGTTACAAGGCCAGCGAGCTCGTAGACCCTTAAGCCACTGGGACCCGATCCAATGGCCAGCCCATGAATTCTCCTCTCTGCCAATTCTTGACATAGCGCGACCACTTCACAATGTCTTCTTCGATGAATCACTGCCTCACCTTCAACCTGCTGTACCTTACTGGTCACGGCTTCCCACTAGAACCCCAGGGAACTGCCTGAATAAGGCCAGTTGGTAGTAAGTAATAGATCAATTTTCTTTCCTTTGAGTACCAGCCTTCTAGAAATTCTCTGACTTTGTTTCTGGTGTTTCGTCTATTTAAAATTTCTACATCCTCTCAATCAAATTGGTGCCTGTAATTGTCTACATGTATGAGTATGAAACAGGAATACATATTGCGTCTTTTTACAGCTAATTTGTGTTCATAGATTCGGATTCTTAGGGGACACCCACTTTGACCGATGTAATGTTTATTGCAGTTCATACAGTTTATTCCGCAAATGGTATTGATATTGCCTTCTTTATTCTGTTGGATTTTTTGGTTTGCACAATGTTGAATGAAGTGACTGTGCTGGCTGGCTGGCTTGTGTGCCATATCTATTTCAAACGGTCCTAATATTCTAGCTGTTATTTTTATATATGGTAGGATGAATTTTCTTGTGGTCTTTGATGTCGCCTTGTTGTTGGCGTTATGACTAGAGTTTAAGCACTTTTTGATGAAATTGTGAGGATGTCCATTCTATTTAAAGATGGTTATCAGGTATTTATCTTCCTTTCTTTACAACGCTGGTATGCTACAGTGTGTTTGAACAATTTTAAACAATATCTGCACACAGTTTCTTTTGTGTGTAATCGGATTATTACTGCTATAGTTGAGTACTTGGTTTGTGTGTGAGTGCTGATTTTCTATATCCTTGTGTTTCTAAATTTCCTGTGTTAGTTCTCCTGATTAAGGCATCTAAAAGTGAAATTTTGTTGTCTAATTCTTCTTCTCTTGTAAATTCAATGTCATAAAGAAGGTCGAAAATAACTGGTATGTGCAATACTACAGTCACTAGAAACACTCCCTTTCCAGATAAAAAATAAGTAGCCCAAATAAATGTGGCTTTCACTACTGATAAGATTTATGAGTAGTATATAAATAGGTATATCAGCCGTAAGAATGCTGAATAGCGGAGAGATAGATTTAACAAGCGACTCTTGTGAAACCACATGGAAAGCATGAAAGGAAGACCTAGCAGCACAATATCTAAAATATGTGCAAATTTTGATCCTAATATATGCTCATTTCACGCACTTCTTCGCCATCACTTTTACCTAGCTTTAGGACTGTCCACAAGCTACTCTCTCCTCGTCACGTGAATTTCACCATTGGGCTCTGGGATGCCTAACCCACAGCCTTGCATTTTGATTCTACTTGACAGGCTGGTGTATGATGTTACTGGAAGGTCCCCACGTTCAATATCCAGTCCATGTCAATTCCTGCATATCTGCTGGGAAGCAGCTAACTAAATAGAAGCACTGACACGGCATTAGTGTTAGGCAGAATTGGGATGTAATTCCATGTGTTCAGCACTGTGAATCCCAACATTGTCTGTCTCGCTAATCATCCAAGAGCCTTTTATTTAAGGGACTGATTTCCAGATAAATACATGAAACAATTTCCATCAAGTTTCTTTCATTGATGGTGATTGGTCTCTATTGTTCGTCTGCTATGGTGTTAAGAATGCTCATAGTTTATTCGGCTACGGGAAATTTGAATCACTGGCTAACTGATCAGAAACTGAACAGTTAAAACAACAATTAATAAACACCCTTGGAACATTTAACACATTTATCACAAACAAAATAAACATAAATTTATCAAGTTCTACAATAACTGACACCAAACTTTATCCAAACTATAGTTCTAGTGTTCTGTAGAAAGTATTTACAGGCATAATACATCATTTCTACTACAGTGAATTCTATTAAATTTTCTTTTGACTTAATTTTAATACTGACTTGTGAATTCGTCATTAAAAAAACACTTTTGTTTTCCTTTTTTATTCCATAATATTAAAATTCAGTCAACTGAAATAAGACTTTATGTTTGTTTAGGTAATTGTTGTTTACAAAAATTTGAAAATTGAATTTTGGCGCCTTATTTGAATTTGCCGGGGTAATTTATTAAGAATTAAAACATTTAAAGAGACTAGTTTGTTTTCTTCTTGAAAAATGACAAAACAATATGTAGACATTTTTTATTGAAACGCATAAAATATCTGCGTTATACTTGTTGAATATTTTGAATATATTAATATAAAAGTTAGTAATAGAGGTCATCGATCTCGACAATTTATGACTACAAAGGTAATCCAAAAGTAGCTGCAGGGATACATATCGGCATCTACACCTGACTATGAATGTTCAGAGTCCTAAAGGTGATCTTAACAATTTCATTAATTTAATATTTAGGTCATATATTTAAATTTGTTAAGATCTAGCCTGCTGAAACGTTTAGACCTGTATGTGTTTGAAAGGCACTTTTGTGATCACTTTGAACCTTTCTTAGTGATCCCCTTTTAAAACCAAGGGTTATTTACTGAATAATGTTTACACTTCGAAGACAGTAAAAAGACGATTATTTGTTGCTGCAGTCTGAGCATGATTCTGTTCAACAAGTATAATAATTATTTCATTCTAGTTGGGGAGTCATCGGCAGTATTCACTCTCTGGGGTTCGAACCCAGGACTTTCCGGTTTAAAGGCAAGCTCGTATGGATGCGTACTGCCGATGATTTTCAAACTAGGATGAAACGGACGTCCAGTACTCCCTGGCTTTCAATGGTTCTCCACCTGATATCAGTCAGTGGTCTGAATCGAAAAACAAACCTCATCCTTACAAATCAAACCTTGAAAATTAATGTGGTACTCGCTAGTGACTTGCTACAGGACGGAGTTTCCTGGAGTTCTAGTGAGAAGTCATGACCAGTGAGATCAATCCAATCGGGAGTGAGAATGGATTTCCCACCGATGACATTGGTTGGTGCCAGTCGCACTAAATACATCACGAATTGGTAGAAGTTAGAATTCATAGTCTGGCCATCTGTCCATCTATCTATTTATCTGTGTGTGTGGATGTGTCATCATGCGTTTCTCGGCTTATCTGTATGCAGATTACATTGAGAAATCTTTGAGGAGCGTAATTGGCACCCAAAATTGTAGGAGAAATTACGCAAGCCACACTCTGTCCTGAATGCATTCAGCTCGATGTGGACATGCATGGGGAGGCAGTGAATGAGTGATTGGATGAGTCAGACAGCTGTGAGTCGGTGATTGGTCAGTGAACTATCGATGCTGTGTGATGAATTGATGGTATTGGTGAGGGCACGAAGGCTGGCAGGCAGACAGACAGGTGAGGAGTGGTGTGTATCATCTGCGGACGGCTGGTGATATGTACATGTGCAGAGTATATATGGAGAGCACAGCTAGTCGACTGTCGGTCGGTCGGTCAGTCAGTGAAGGTGATGGTCACAGCGGTGGATGGTGCGAGATTTGGTACGCAGCACAGCACAGTTGATTGATTGATTGGTTGATCGATGGATCGGCTGAAGCAAAAGCCAGCTCCTCGACCGGGAATCGAACCCGGGCCTTCCACGTGACAGGCGGAGATACTCACTACTATACTATCGAGGAGCACGTACACATTCACATAATCAACACTCTTCATACAAACACTCACGACAATAACATCATCAGTCACCCAGTCATCACTCACTCCATCCAACCAAAATACAATTAAAAACACCACAATTGAAATCATCAATACAAACAAACAACATGACGCACACACATGCACATACACACTTGCATTATCATACATGAGGTAAAGTTGCTGAAATTGATAAATTCGAATGAATATTCATCTTATTTAGTTGTCATCTGAAAACCATTTTTCCCTTCTTTTTTTTATTTTCACAGATTTACTACTCACAATCTTTATCAGTACACTAAGTTTGTATTTAGCACTATTTATTCTAGTCGAACTGTGTACATTTAAACAAAATGCTTTAACCAATCATATTTCTGTTCAGTGTTGTCGATTAACCAATCAAAAGAGAGGACAACTGCATCATCATCATCAACATCATCAAAACGACAATCATGGAATCAATCATGATTCATGTATACCCCTAACAACTGATCAATATAATCAAATCACATCACTCGACGTATCACATCCAAATAATTATCGCACTTGTAATCACGAGTGTCATAGCTGTAGTAATTATGATGATAGTAGAAAGTGTGGCAATTATTATTTCAAATGTGATGAAGACGAAAATGATAAAGGCGCCGATATTCATCAGATAATTAATAATCCATTCAAACAATATACTACTTATAAACATGGATATAATAGTAGTGGCTTACACAGCAATTTACTAGATAAACCGTTTAGTACACATCAGAATAAAGCAGCTACATTGCATACATCAGGTATAATGTACATGTGTAAGGATTATTGTCAAACAAAAGCCTACTTAGATGGCAATAGTAGTACAGTGGATAGAAATGTGCCAATTTTTCCAGGACGTAAGTAAATTGAACATTCCCATAATGTATAATCAAGTGGAATGAACAGGATTTTGTAAATACGATAACAAGTTAGAAAAGCATTACTTAAACCTAAGGTAATAAAATCATAAGAAAGATCATGAAATCATAAAAGTCGAAAGTGAACGATTGTCAATGAAACAGAGGAATAGAAGAAGAAGAAGAGAAGAAAAGAAAATTGTGATAGGAATTTATAGTGTTAATGGAGGATTTGTTGGCTTTATTGTAGGCCAAGGTAAACACAGAGGTTGAACATACTTCTTCTGTATGCAAAGAGGTGGTCTTCTGGTATTAATTGCCACCGCTTCAGCTACTGATAGAAGACGCAGTCAAGCTCCTCTAGATAAATTACTAGGAACGCAGTAAATAACTGAGAACGCCTGGTCAAGTTTTATCTGGTGTCCAGTGTCTACCAAGTGGGCTAAGACTGCACAATTTACGCATTTGGTTACCCTTTTAATCAACCATACAGGTACATGTTCACGCGCGCGCATGATTAAAGCCCTCTGAGTACGGCCAATGTAACTAGATCCAACCCTTTGCATACAGAAGAAGTATGTTCAACCTCTGTGTTTACCTTGGCCTACAATAAAGCCAACAAATGCTCCATAAACATTAACACTATAAATTCTTATCACAATTTTCTTTTCTTCTTCTATTCCTCGGTTTCATTGACAAACGTTCATTTTCGACTTTTATGATTTCATGACCTTTCTTATGATTTCTATTACCTTAGGTTTAAGTAATGCTTTTCTAACTTGTTATCGTATTTACAAAATCCTGTTCATTCCATTTCATTATAATATAAATTTCTTGATATATGTATATCATTATAATGCTTTGATTGTTCACTAGGTAGTGAACGATGCCGTGCCCCTAGTCCTTGGATTGGAGAAGGTTGAATTGTACCACTGGAAACCAAGAGTTATTTGACAGCTGTTTCGTAGTTGTCTGGGGTTCTTCAGGAGTACTCACCAGTGGCCTCACCAGGGATAGAACCCAGGACTTTGAGATTAAAAGACGTCCTCGTTAACCATCAAGCCACTGACCAATCACTTTTAACCTCTGTGGATTCTCGATGCATAACGTGACGACCACTTTGACAGTATTTTTCCCCACATCCAACGCGGTAGACGCCAACGTTCATGACTTCCTACTACACCTTGCGGTACCAACATCCCGTAGTGTGTCAGCCAATCACTGGTGAGCTCGAGATTGATTTTTAAGTGTTGATTTGAAAGGCTCTGGCTGGCAGAATTTAGAACTGACAGACCAGTGAATTCTGTCACAGCTGCTGAGTGATATATGAGTTCCAACAAGCTCGTAAGCCCCCTGCTTCCTGTCGACTGCCTCCTACCATCTAAAAGCAGTTCAGAATGCATCACGATGGCAAGCCACCTAGCTAGTTGACTGCACTGTAAATATGACTGGCAGAATTCAGTTCGCAGCAACACCAAGCATAGGACGCTCACCGACTATGCACATGGTCCAGGGTTCGACCCCCGGCCGCTAAGCTAGTAGTAAGACTGGTAAAGAGGGAAGGTTGGGCATGAGGCCAGCAACCCCATACCGTAAAAATAAACTCTGCTACAGAAACTTCAAGCCACTAGCCCAAAGCCCTATGTTCCACTGGGAACGTGAAGGAATAAAAAAAGAGTGGCCAATCAAAGTATCTCTATTACCACTTCTAAAAGGAGATCAATCGTGAGACCTAACACCTCAGTGGTAACGTCTCCGACTGTAGTACTACGTGACAAGAGTTCGAATCTCAGTGGGGATTTGAATTTGTTCAAGATGCCAGGTACACCTTGCTCAAGAGTGCCAATAATCATTAACCCGAAGTCAGAGGGGGCTTCCATCCGATATTCATTAATTCAAAGTAAAGTTTCCTAGACATATTTGAACCATACTGCCAGCTTATCTACTGAAATCAATCAAGAATTGAGCCAGAAATATTTTTTCTTTTGCAAATTTCTCAGTGACGTTTCATCAATAAAAACACTACCAGGAAATAAGTCAAAAACCGATAAGAGGAAAACGGTTAAATCGAATTCATGATTTGCAACACCCCAGGAAATATTCCCATATTGAGTCATTACAAAAGTAAGACATAAACAGCGAAGAAAATTTTCATAAGCTGCTGTAAAATCGTAGTTATATTTAACAGAGAAATCATAAGACCAGTGAGATACTGTTAAAATTATCCTCGAAAAATGTGTTACGTAGTGTAAGATGTAATCTAGAAGGGGTGACTAATTCGAGGTTGAAAAGAGGCAGAAGATGGCATGACGTAATAAGTGTGAGATAATGACTTATCAGTAGGATTGTGTAGAATGGAAAGGAACTAGTGGAAAGACGATAAAGAGTTTTTATATAAAATCTGTATGAAAAAGAAATGTTATTAATAAACAGTAATAGAGTGATAATAAAAAATGGATGCTGGCAATAATAATTATCTATAGCTTGGTTTGTAAGGATTAGTTTTGTTTTTACGAGTTGATCACGGATTGATATCAATGAGTTATAGAAGCATTGAAAACCAAGGAGTACTGGACAGCTGTTTCATCCTAGTTTGGGAATCATCGGCAGTACGCACCCACTGCCAGGGTGCGAACCCAGGACTTTCCGGTTACAATCAAGCAAGCGCGTATACCATTCAGCCACTGGGACCCAATTCAATGGGTAGCCAATCAATTCTAACTCCTACCATTTCATCATGCATTTAGCGCCGCTGGCAGCAACCAGCGTAATCGGTGGGAAATCCATCTACACACGTGACATCTGGATGGACCTCACTGGTCACGACTTCTCACTAGAACTCCAGGAAACTCCACCCTGTAGCAGGTCACTGGCGAGCACCAGAATAATTTTCTATAGTTTGGTTTGTAAGGGTTAGTTCTGTTTTTACTAGTTGGTCACGGATTGGTATCAGTGTGGATGGATGTCCCACCAACGACAATGGTTGGGGTCGCGCTAAATCACGAATTGGTAGAAATTAGAATTGATTGGCTACCCATTGAATTGGGTCCCAGTGGCTGAATGGTATACGCGCTTGCTTGATTGTAACCGGAAAGTCCTGGGTTCGCACCCTGGCAGTGGGTGCGTACTGCCGATGATTCCCAAACTAGGATGAAACAGCTGTCCAGTACTCCTTGGTTTTCAATGCTTCTATAACTCATTGATATCAATCCGTGATCAACTCGTAAAAATAATAATTATAATAAAATAATAATAATAGTGAACTTACATAATAAAAAAAGAAACAAAATCATAGTAAGAACGTCACTCTGGCCACGGTAGGGTGGCGAGTGAATGTATGTAGCGCTTTTGAATGCAGAGCTCAGGTTTCAGATCCCGAATTGCCAATGATTCATCTATGTACAGATGGCATGTTCGAAGTCCTTCCGCACGATGTTGAGGAACTCTGTGTAGTAGTGAGAAGCACTCATGCAGGGGTGCTCGATGTCCAGAGTTAACAAGGTATTCGAGGATTGAGCTGCTAGTATTCTTCTTTCCTCCTCTGGCTGGCTAGCCAAGCTGGACAGTGCTTCAGAATGCGTTTGTGGACTTAACATTGCGTATGGCCAATATACTTTTCTTTCCACAAACATGTAAATTGATAAATACACATTGAGCTGGCCAGAAGTGGTATCTTATCCTTAACATTAGACTGGATTAACTGTCTCTACTGGCGAATGCAATACGTAAGGTGGCTGCCTGACACATTTTCCTTTACAGACAACATTTATTCAAATCACAATACATCGTCACTTTGATATCATAAATGACAATCAAGAAATTGAACAAAAATGCATGATGCTACATACTACTGACTGATTGGTTGATATAAGAAGTTGAATACCACTCGCATCAACCAGTGTGTTTTGTGTATGCTACCCAGACAGACAAAAGTGTTTTTGGTATGGTTGTGTTCTCGGAGCTGGATAGTTAATTTGCATAGCTTTCATCACCCTACTAGGTGACATCTTCAGCGCATACTTCAATGTGAAGTGAGCTTTTAGATTTCTCCACGAGTTTATTAATCATCTCTCCCGGTGACCTTGGACGTGATTGGTTGTTTTTGTGTGTTTTCACACATTCTAGGTTATTTGTGTCGTAACTCATTGTTTCTTTGACTTGAACTTTCACCGTTTGTGTGTGAGGTTTCTTTCTTATCAGTTGATAATCTTTTTCTACTTCGATGTGTCTATTGATTGATGATTCACTGGAATGCCAAGTTTCTAAAAATTCTCTAGCATTTTTGTTGTTTCCTCTGTCTAATATTTGAACGTTGGCTGTCCCAGTCGAATTGATGTCCGTAGTTGTCTGTATGTAGTGATATGAGGGAGTACATGTCATGTCTTTTGATGGCTAGATTGTGCTCGTGGATACGAAGACGAAGAGGACGTCCACTTTGGCCAATGTAGTCTCTTTCGCAGTTGTTACAATTTATTTTATAGATGATGTCGGTTTTATCTTCTTTCGCTGTTGAGTTCAAATATTAGACACAGGAAACAACAAGAATGCTAGAGAATTTTTAGAAGCCAGCCTGGTATTCCAGTGAATCATCAATCAAGAGACACATTGACACAGGCAAAATTTACCAATCGACAAGAAAAAAATCTCACACACACAAAGGGTCAAAGTTCAAGTTAAAGAAACAATCAGTTCCAATACATGTAGCCTAGAAGGTGTGGAAACATACAAAAACAACCAATCACGTCCAAGGTCACCGGGAGAGATGATTAATAAACTCGTGGAGAAATCTGAAAGCCCACTTCACATTGAAGTATGCGCTGAAGATGCCACTTAATAGGGTGATGAAAGCTTCGCAAATTGACTATCCAGCTCAGAGAATACAACTACACCAAAATCATCCAACTGAGCCATAAATCTTCTGTATCATATCTGACAACCGTCTGTCACTCATTTGTTGCCTAGCCTCATCAGCGAGGTGCCAAGCTTGACTCAGTTTAGAGAATAGAATCATTTCAAACCGCCAGGATTGTGGTCAGTTCGATGTTCAGACACCTTCGATCTAGCTAGCAATCCCTACAAGTCTACATGAGTTGTATCAAACTACTCACACCTTTTGAAGAGTAGTATATAACGAGAGAAACAAAATAGTAATTAGGAAAAACACACCTGAATGCGAAATACTCTTATCAAACTTTCTATAAGATCCTAAAAAGATTATACAGATGATTAAGTCACTACATTAGTAAAAATTTTATGTTGAAGAAAAATTTATTGGTCACTCCTTTGGGAATAAACAGTTTATAACCCAACCCATCGCCCAATTAAGGTACATTTGAAGACAGGAGAAAGCACATACTGTTAGGAATACACAAATATACATTCGTACACCCGATAAGGAACATTAAGATTCAAAAGTATGAGTTCATCATCGGCATAATTATCCAAATTTTTCATGTGATTACAAAGCAACTGACCTCAAACATATTTCATTCTACATTTTGTCTCTTCTTTATTATGCATTTCGTTAGAAGGTAGGTAGGCAAGCTGGTTAAAAGTTTCATGTTACATTCCAGCTTGATGCTTAATAATTTGACCTTGACAATGAACAGACGGTGCTACAATACAATACTTAGGATGAAACAGCTGTCCAGTACTCCCCTCAGCTGGTCTTCAATGCTTCTCTAAATGATATCAATCCATGAGTGGTCAAACTCGTAAAAACACATCTAACCCTTACAGACCAAACTCTTGAAAATTAATCTGATGCTCGCTGGTGACTTGTTACAGGAATGAGTTTCTTGGAGTTCTAGTGAGAAGTCGTGACCAGTGAGGTCCAGCCAGTCAAGTGTGAGGATGGATTTCCCACCGATGGCCACCGATCACATTCGTTGGTGCCAGTCGCTGTAAATGCATAACGAACTGGTAGAAGTTAGAATTCATGCACTGACCATTGAATTGGGTTGGGTCCCAGTGAGTGGTTGAATGGTATATGAGCCAGATTGCCTTCCTTGTAACCGTAAGGTCCTGGGTTCGAACCCCACCGTGGTGGATGCGTACTGTCGATGATTCCCAAACTGGGATGAAACAGCCGTCCAGTACTCCTGTGCTGGTTTCCAGTGGTTATCTAACTGATATCAATCCGTGATCAACTCGTAAAAATAGTTATGACTATTTTCGAATAATTCTCATTCAAGCAGTTATGAATGAAATAAACAGTTCATAAAAAACTTTCTGTTTTGAATGATCTCATTTCCTGTAGTCATTCAATCTCATTTATATATATACAAGGGGTTCGTAATGAAAGAGATGAACTTTCCTAAACACGGTTGCTTACAGGTTCCTATTACAAATTTCAAAAAACTGATTAGCGAACAAAGAGTGTTCTTCCCGATAACTTTTTCATGAAGTTTTATGGTTATACATCCATGTTAGTTAGAGAACTGTTAACATTGATAATATTACAGTTAGTTGTGTTCTCTGAGCTGGCTGGGTTAATTGCGGGGCTTTCATCGTCCACCTTCTAGACAACATCCCCTTTCAGCGGAAGTTTTAGCATAAAATGAACTGATTTAAATTTTCCATGAATGATAGAATTGCGTCCCCAGGTAACCATCTTTACCTCTGTATTGGTCATTTTTTATTGACTTGGATTTTGAACTTTCTGGTCACAAGTGATTTATTTTTTATTAGTTGGTAGATTTGGTTTATATTAACTAACATGTTTGTTCATCGCATATTCGTTTGAGTACTAGGCTTCTAGGAATTCTCTGCTCTCAGTTTTGGTGTTTCCTCTGTTTAAAATTTTGACATTATCCCAATCATCAAATTGGTGTCCATAAGTATCGACATGCATTGATATGAAACAGGAATATATATCATGTCTTTTCACGACTGATTTGTGTTCCTGGATTCTGATTCGAAGGGGACGCCCACTTTCACCGATGTACTGCTTGTTACAGTTCATGCATGCAATTTATTTTGTAAATGGTATTAATTTTATCTTCTTTTTCTGATGCATGGGTCTTTCGGTTTGCACAATATCGAATGAAATGTTTGTGCTGGCTGACTGGCTTGTGTGCTATATCTAATTCAAACGGTTTCAACATTCTAGCTGTTATTTCAGAGATACTTTTAATTTATGGTAGGATGAATTTTCTTTCATTTTATGCTAAAACTTGCGCTGAAAGGGGGTATTGTCCCGAGGGACGGCGAAAGCTCAGCAATTAAACCAACCAGCTTAGAGAACAACATTAATTGAAAATCATCCACATGAGCTACAAATCTTCTCTATTATTGATAACACTAATATTTTTAAATGATATCAAATCATTAATATCAATCGATTACAGTTCTCAACAGAGTTGTATGTGTGGTAATATGCATAAATATTACTGAGTATCAGATAAGTTAAGGAAAATAATAATATACAATCTGTGAACTTATACATTCCACTACAGAGGGCCGGGGATAGCAATACTAGTTAGACCTGTTCCTTTTGTCTGCAGAGTTCCGCTTGTTCTAAGCGAACTACGATGTCTTTTGATATTCCTAAATGGTTACAGAAGCAAAGTGAACCTCCAGAACCCACAAATGCTGAGAAGAGACAACCTAGCTCCTTTATTGCGAAACATATTATAGATGGGACAGAGCATAAGCTTATTACCATGGCAACAGCAGCAGAGGAATTCTCTTTAGTATGCAGTGGACTAACTTCTATTTCTGCACAGATAGAGATTCACCAATGCGACTGGCGAGTATCCTACCCATGAACTGCCAATTACTCTTTTAACATTATATGTACATGCATAATGAGGGAGAGTCAGTGTGCCTCCATTGTTCTTACTTTTCTTTTCAGATGGACAAAAGTCGCCAGTCGAACATTTAGAAACACCGAATGATTTAAATATGCCTACAGGATTTCTTCTTACTCCAGTACCGTATTCATCATCATCAACAATCACCTCTTCTTCTTCCAAGCCGCCTTATTTTCATTCATCACTTAACTTTCAGTGGACTACGAGGAATCAGATTCAATGATTGATAAAACGTCAAATTAATATTTCGCTCTCCTCCCTATGGATTCGACACATGAAGGATTATTGATTCATGCGACTCAGGATTTCGAAGGAAAAGAAAATAATCCAACTTGACATTCCTTTCACATTCCAGATTCATGAAGGTTCACAAACGAATCAAAAAGAAGGAATTATTGTTCAGAATGTAAACTAGTCAGTACGATTTATTTATTTTCATATCAATTAATGATTATATGTATGTAAAAATGATTTTTCTAAACGTTTTAGCTAATTATCACAAATATATAAATACATATATATATTTGGTGTTTCTTTCTCGATTTCTACATCTGTGGAAAAAATTGCATCTTCAGGTGTTGTTTTGTAGCGATTTGATTCATTTGACTCTTTTTCGTCGTTGTTTGGGACTCTTCGTCTGCATACGCATGGAATGGAATCCAATGGCCAGCCTATGAATTCTAACTTCTGCAAATCCACGATGTACAGAGCACTATTACCAGTTAATGTCATCAGTGAGTGCTTGTCCCAGCAGCTAACTTGGTTCACCTTGGTGATTACAACTTCCAACTAGAACTTCAGGCACATTGGTGCTGTAGTCAATCACACAAGTGTTCTGTTTTTCCAGGAATTCCATTGATTTCACGTTGGATCACGAAAGTGAAGAGGAGGGAGTATTGGACAGCTAGTTGTTTCGTCAGACTATAGCACTCTTTAATAGTTTGAACCCATAACGCCACTGGGGTTTAGCTATATTTTGCAAATAGGCAGAAGTTAGAATTCATTGGTCATTGGGTTCCGTCGCAATGTCCGAGTGGTCAACGGGCTAGGTTCCCTAAATTGAGGCCCTTGCATCCGACGCGTAGTAAACTGATGAGGGCGTACTGTTGAATTACCTCAAACTAGGTAGGAACTGCTATCCAGTACTCATTAACATTTTTCAATGATTCTCAAAATTAAGTCAGTTGGTGGTCAGACTTGAAAACATTTTATCTCTGGAAACATATGCTACTTATAAGTAGTATAAAATGTTTACAACAATTTTAGGGTTTCAGTTTTCAAACAGCTGAGGTATAAGAGAATGGTCAGAGAATATGATAATCTCATATAAATATACATTTCGTATTGTAAAATAACAGTGATTAAAACAAAACTAATGAGTGGATGTGACCATTTTTATATGGTCGATAGTGATTACTGTTCGGATTATGGCGGTGAAATTCAGTATTGTCAGTCTCCAAGTGTTAATTTGTAGAGATTTTATGGTTCCAAGTTTAATCTGGGATAAACAACAGTTGGAGAACCATTGAGAAGAAACAGGTAGCATTGGACAGTTGCTTTGTTTTAGTTTCGGACTCCTCCAAACTAGATAACCAACACCTTGTCAAGGATCAAAGCCAGAACCTTCAGGTTATGAGGCCAACATATTGACCATTCAAACACTGGGACGGAATCTGGTGGCCTGGTTCCAGATTCGATCCCTAAAGACGGTCATATCTACGTACTACTGAAGAGCTTTAAATTAGGACAGAACTGCTATCCAGTACTTCCTGTTTATCCATAGTTCTCTTGATGATGTTTATTTGAGATCCCATTTGAATTCAATCATATCGTCTCAAACAAACACTTAAAGGGCTTACATGTTGAATTGTCGGATGTCATCACCAAAAGGTGAAGTTAGTAATCGTGGTATACAGAACATAAAGTAATGTTCTTGCCATATTAAAATTTGGATAGCTGAATAACAAACCATCGTGGAATAGTCAACTGACAAACTTCTACAGGTGGATAACTGTCAGTCGAAAAACAGCTCTCATCTTCTCACTGAACAACCGTGTCAAGAGATTTTTGAGCAGTGACTGCTTAGAAGAAAAACTCTGATTTCCCAATAGTATCATGGCTCAAAATGATTACGCGGTACGCCCCGTAGAGAAGAATATGAAACCAAAGCTAAAGGGAGAAGAATCCACTTCACTACCAAAGAAAACAAATTACTTGAATCTGGACTACTGAGGAGACTACGTGGCAGATTTACTTAAGAGGCGAATCTCTAGCTCCCTAAAGAATACCTTTCCTGAAGCAACTCTAAGAGTAATCCCCTCCAGAAGCCAACTTCTTTTAAGCAATGTGATGGACAAACTTCCGTATCTGACCATTCCGACGTGCATATATCAGTTCACCTACTCGTGCAGACCTAGGTACATTGAAGGCTGTAAGTAGGGTCAGTGCTATCCCTTTGACCCAACTAACTGACACTGTTGTCAATAGGCATATGAATTCTTGTAAACACTTAGCTAAAGTTATCTTGTCTGATAGTGAACATCCTCTTTATTCACAATTGTTTCCTTGCATCTCTTCGGGTAAGACCAGAAGAAATTTCATAAACATTTATGCTCGTACTACAAAATATAAAAATTCGACCGTACCATATTTGGCACGAGTATTGTGTGAAGAGACGAATATCAGAAAAGAACTTTTACAACTTTTAAATCATTAACTCAACTATAAAATGTAATGATGCATATTATTGCATGTGTGATTTGTTATATTATTTATTTATTATTTCACTATGACCTAGCAATGGTGTGATTTTGTTGGGGTTTTTATTTCTCCTATTCACTATCAATATTTTAACATTTTGTACATTTATATAATTATAAAAAGAGCTAAACCAATGCAATACGTAAAATGAAACGCTGAAAATTCCATGCTGTAAATTGTTATTGTTGTGGAATAAAGTGATTATTATTATTATTAGGTACATGGGTCGTTCTGTGCGCCTCTTTTCAAAACGTGCTAGAGGACATCGCCCAGCATGGCTGCAAATAGGAGGCAGTGGTTCAATCAGGAGCTCGATAATTGAGCACTTTATCAACACCTGTTACAGCAGCTCAGCTGACTCATCATTCAGAGTCATTTACAAAATACAGCGAGAATCAACCAAAGGCAATGTGTTCTCAACTTCTTTGTACAACAGGAGCCCTCTCTATATGCAATGAATAATTAACAACTCGGTTTCATATACAGCACTAAATTCCACACCCGGTAGATAGATAGGAAGTGACGCGGGAGAATTTGAAACTTAATAATAATCGTGTACCTTTTCCACTACGAATTCTGTGCGTATAAAATGCTAAAAGGTTCGATATTTGAATGAAACATTTACCCATAACTCCTTATGTCTGACAGTATACCGCCTTGAAAACTGCCATTTTTAATTCATCAGTTATACAGAGTAACAGATGCATACTGAGTTTTATTCGACTCTTTGCGGAATTCTGCGCTTCCAATGATTTGGTAATCGGAGGCCGAGTGTAGAAACACAAGGCAACGTGGATGTCGCCTGAAAGACACACAATCCACAACCCAGGCAGATTTCATCTCAATGCTACTCAAGGAAGTGGAGACGCAGCTAGTCTGCTGGACACAAAGTCGAGAAGGGGTGAAGATGTGGGCTCAGACTATCATCTACTTCACGGAACCTTCAGGGTCAAGCTAGAGGCCTTCAGAACAACCACTGACAGACCACAATTCAAGTTTAATATTCAGAAACTGAGGACCAAACTATAAAGGATACCTTCACTGCAGCCATCAGAGCGAAGTTGGGGCACTACGTGGTATCACTGAGGAAACGTGTATGGAAGAACATTAGAACTGACTCTCTGAAGATGATGTTCAAGGAAACGTGTATGAATGTTCTAGGAAGAAAGAAGAGACACGACAAGGAACGGCTCTCAACGGATACCTGCCTGGAAGCTAATAGAAGAGAGGAGATGAGGATGGTGAAAGAGAAGATGACTCAATGCAAAGATGGGCAACAGAAGGAGAAGATGAGTTCAATGTACGCTGAACGGGATAAATAAGTGAAGAAGAGCTTTAGGAAATACGGAAGACAGTCCTACGACAGACTGGTGACTGAAGCGGAACAGACCTCAGAACACAAAATCAGATAACCAGGACTCCATCCGGGAAAAGATCAACACAGGAGGAACCTATAAAATATGTTCAAGGGAACCTGATTACCAAGGAGGAAAAATAAATAAAACAATGGGCTGGTCACTTCAAAGTACTCTTGAATAGACCACCACCTGCACATGGTCCGGGGTTCGATCTCCTACCGACGCACACCTGATATCTATGGTCGGCCTGCAAATTTTGGGCTACCGATATCACATGCTGAAAATTCCATACTTGTACCAAAAGTACGATGTGGAACCAAGATATAATCAAAAAAGAAGCAGTTTTCAGGCTTCTTTGCCCTGGTAACTGGATGTCTTTACTGTCTTTCTCTCTCTTTCATTTGATTACTCAAAGTTTAGCCTTTAACTGTACGCATGAAGTCAACAATTAAAAATTGGTTTAAATACTTTTATACGACAATGCTGCATGCCAAGTAATCCACAACGGGAAACTTACGGAATCCTTCGAAGTGAGGACAGGAGTAAGACAAGGCTGCCTACTCTCGCCAATGATTTTCCTGATTGCAGTAGACTGGATAATGCGACAAACAGTGGGCAATGAGGAAACAGGCACAAAAAACTTGGAGGATCTGGACTTCGCCGATGATATATGTCTGATTTCCCACAAACTGGAAGATATGCAAGCGAAAAGCAACAAGTTGACAGAAGAAGCATCAAAGCTAGGCATTCAGGTGAACATAGATAAAACAGAGGTGATGAAAATTCCTCGGCAACACCACCAACAGCAACAACAAGAACAACTGACAACAATCAGCATAAATGGGAGGAACCTGAAAGAAACAACCTCCTTTACCTACCGACCTGGGAAGCAGAGTTTCAACTACAGGTGGAACTGACGAGGATATCAAAGCCAGAATCGGAAAAGCAAGACAAGCTTTCACTACTCTCAAGTCTGTGTGGAGGTCAACAACACTCAGCATCAAAAATAAGATCAGGATTTTCAACTCCAATGTCAAGTCAGTGCTACTACACGGATGAGAGACTTGCACTGCGCTTCATAAAGAGCATCTCCAACAAACTACAG